TCTTTCTACGACCCCGATCGTTAAATAGTCGTGCACAGTCGTATTTTGGTCAACGTTGAGAGGAGAGGTCAAGAGGTCATGATAGCTACATCATTCCTGATAACCCAAATATCGACAACATATGTCGGTTATATGTGTTTTTCATGGTCCTTTTTTGGCCTCTTAAGCCCTATTCCTGCGGCCGCCGAGATATCTCGGTTTCCCCAATGTGTTCCCTGTATGCGGAAGCCGAGATAACTCGGTTTTCTGGTATCCATACATGGACGCGTCACATTCCCGCGTACCGCGCGCGCGAACCCGGAAGCAACTTGCGTAATCACCGTGACGTCATCCCATGAGCCTTTGCGCACTAATTTATTCAAAAACGGCGCCGTCTGCATGTTTCTTTTCTCGTAGTATGTTGTTACCTTCGTTGGCGTTCGTGTGTCTGTGTGTGTGTGTGTGTGTGTGTGTGTGTGTGTGTGTGTGTGTGTGTGTGTGTGTGTGTGTGAGCACGATAACTCAAGAAGGCTAAGATGGATTGTCTTGATACTTTGTAGGTGGGTAGGTCTTCATGAGACGTGGAACTGATAAGATTTTGGGCCCCCTAGCGGCTTGCTCTGGAACTGCAGGGACATTAGTTGAAAAATGTTTAAAGGTGGATAACTCAATAAACGACTGATGGATCGTCGTGATTTTTAGCATGTAGGTAGCTGAAGCGATGCTTGACATAATGACATTACAATTATGCAAATATTAATGTAATTTGCATAATTAATGAGGAAATTCTATAAATCAGCTGCATTCCATGATAGGACGATTCAAGCTTGTGACATGTAATTCAGAACGGCAGAAATACAGGCAGATATTGATTATGCAAATTAGACTTAATTTGCATAATTAACAAGAAAATGTTATAATCACATAGTGGTAATGTCTGGAATTTCATACTTGGGATATTTGAAACTTATGTGAAGGTGAACATAATTAAACATAACTTATTCAAATAAGGAACTCATTTGCATAATTTATGAGAACATGCTATAATGGCATGCATTGATAAGATAAGACTTCTTGTGTAGAATATGATCAACAGATATAATTGATGCAATATAGGATCCTATTTGCACAATCAGGGGGATTCATCTATAATTTCTTAGTCATAAAGGCTAACATCATTTGGCGAAGGTATGAGATCGTGGAACTCTAGTTTGCAAATGAATTGAGTGCAGTTTTAACCCTATCTAGACCGGGGGGGGGGCTAAAAGTGCCCGCGCCAACTTTGATGTCACATAGCGTCTGAATGGCTAGGGCTAGAATGACCAAACTTGGTGACTTTTCCTAAAATATTGTTGGCAACAATTTTCTATCATTGGAATAAGATAATAATTTTTTTGTGTTGCCATGGCAACGGGTTTCTGACAGGCATTTTTTGCTAAATTTAGTAATTTTTGTTTCAAGAATAGAATTTTATGGGTTTTATGTCAAGTTACTCATGGTTTCTAATATTAATAACATCCCATATGAATTTATGTAAATTTTATCATTAAATATGCATAATTTATGCTAATTTCATGACGTCATTGGCCAAAATCCAAGATGGCGGACCATATCATTAGAACAGGTATATACAAGTTATTTTCCTTAAAATTTCATCAATACTTCCATTTCTTTTTCCAAAAAAGGTTTAAATGAAGGTCTTTGGTATGTTTACAGTGTATTTTAGGCTTTATCACGAAAAAAAACTATTTTTGAAAATTCAACATTGATGATCCAAGATGGCAGATATCTTAAATATGTATGACGTCATTTTATGACGTCACCGGTGTTGCTATGAGCAACATAAGACTTAGTACTCTAATATTCTGTCATAAACACTTTTGGTAAAGTTATGTTGAATACCATTTAGTTTTCAGGGAATAGCCTATCTAGACGGTTTTGGCCAATAAAATCCCATTAATGACGTCATAATGACGTCATATTACGTCGTAATGACATCAAAATTGTAGATATGATAAATTTTAACTAGTACACCATCCTCTGAAAATTTGGTAGCCATACAACATACCGTTAGCGAGTTCTGAGGGGGGGCCGAAAGAGCCCCCCCCCCGGTCAAATCTTGCTCAAAAAAGCCCGGTCTAGATAGGGTTAAAGGCTAGTGTGATCCTTTAGGACATGTCCTGCATGTATTACACCAGTCCCTTTTAAAATTGACATTGATATAACGAAAGACAGGAAATAAAGAGTGGTAAGCCTTTAGGCTCAGGATACACCTCTCGCCCAGGTGCGTCGGCCAGGCGCATAAAGTCGGGCCGCCGGCGCCACCTGCAGCTGTGGCGGGCCCGACCAACAATCTCACCTGTTGCTAGTGATTACGTCACCAGGGCCGGACATCTCCGGACGGGACGGTCCCCCAATTTCGGAGAGTTGGAAGCGCCGTGGCGCAAATTTTCGCGCTTGGCCAATGCATGTAGGCGAGAGGTTCTGTCGGGCGGACAACCGCCGGGCCATGAGGTAATTTGCGCCAGTAAGGGAACAAAAAAACCCAAAAGGGACTCTCTCTATTGTATTACGCCAGTCCCTTTTGAAATCAAAATTAATATAACGAAAGACAGGAAATAAAGAGTGATAAGCCTATAGGCTCAGGATACACCTTAGGAAACATGTTTCTTATTAAGAGGCCATTTTAACCTTCTCCCTGCTGCCTAACCCCACGACCAATGCAGATTTTATGCAGGCAGGCTACTTTAGCAGGCTGAATGTTAATACCTGGATAGTCAAGTTCAGGTGATATTTTGGGCACCGACTAAAAACACAGAGGGTAGGTAGATTTGAATTGATAAAGAGTCACTATGAACATGGTTGGTTGAGATTCTTCAATGCCATATAAACTTATAATTATAGAATCCAATGATATTTTAAGGAAATGTAACGTTAAATGCAATGTGTTGACCAGAATGTATGTTGTGATTTTAGTTAGATGATAACTTTTGAACCACATGACATTGTATATTTTCATTTACAAATCTCACTGCGCAACAGTTTATAATGGTAATCACTCACTCACTCAGCTCCGCATGCCCCTCCTGGGGGTGTAGCGCCTCTGCATACGGCCCTCCAGGTCTTCCGGTCTCTGGCTGCCACCCAGGCGGTGGTGATGTCCAGTCCGGCAGCCTGTAGGTCGGCAGACAGCAGGTCCGTCCATGTACGCCTCGGTCTCCCTCTAGGGCGGGACCAGGTCGAAGGAGGCGGTTCTCTTACGAGGGAGCCTAGCTCAAATGGTGGTTCCGCCCTGGCAATGTGGCCGAAGAGACGGAGACGTGCTGAACGGATCTTGCTGGACAGGGGGGGGGGGGGGTGCTGGTTGGTCTGCTCTCTCAGGGCGTCGGTGGAGACGTGGTCGAACCACCTAATCCCCAGGATTCTCCGCTGGCATTTGGAGTCAAAGGCGTCCAAGCGGCGCTCCTGGGCAGCGGTAATGGTAATGGTAATGGTTCATTAAAAGCTGAGTCATATAAATATTCATCTATTTTATTTCTTTTACTTCCCAACCTGCTATACATGGATTCTAACCTCCCCCGGAATTGATTTAGTAGAACCCTAACTGACATTTACAGAATCTGAATCACTGACTGGCATTTCACGTCACACCAAGAGGTTACTCCATGTCAAATTTTGCAGGTTTGCGAACGACTGCGCCTTTATTACCTTCGCAATAACGTAATTACGAAGTTCTTAGAAACAGGTTCGCGCGTTCGATGCAATTCGATCTCGGTACTTACTCTGTTTACCTGTCTTTTTCGGTTGTTGTTATATCGGTGGGAGGGCCGGGACCGAGGGTGATGCGGAATACACCGTGTTGTATTTTATTTATGTCATACCCACCCAAGAAAACGCGCCTTTCAATGCAAGATGTGTAAAAAGTTGGTGCCCCTAAATCCTCAAATGCAACAACATCAGTTCCAACGTCCGAATTCTGTATTTGAATTTTTGAAAGCGGAGCACACAGTTAGGGCTCTATAGAATATCTATGGAACATTTGGAAGCCCGGTCCGTACCGTGAAATACGGATCGGTCCGGAACCCGTTATCGAACGTTATTGCGGCCCGGGATTGATATAAATGACTGATTGGGACAGAGAGGATTTGACCCCGGCAACATCATTGCGTATAAGAACCTCGCGATTACGTCATTGCGAAGGCATGGCGGCGGCCAATTTGTAAACGCAAGTCGCTAGCCGCAACTACAAACAGCCGGCAGCGCTCTTAACTACGATGGACTAACGAACTAAGTGTAGAAATCACTTTTCAGATATACCATGCTTAGCGTAATGACAGATTTTATCGAATCTCTCGTATCCCTTTAAATACAGACACAGACAATCCTTTATTCCCAGAACTGTCAAAATCATGCAGCAGAAACAGTTGTAAATTGAGATTCAGACTCGTCTTCTGCAGATTATTTGTGTGTGAACTTGTCTTAAAAATTGTAAATTCATGTCGCCACATTATATGTGCCATATTTTAATTAATAATGCAATTTATCGTTGATTTTTAAACTGTTGTATGTTGAATTTTAGACTATTTCAAAATCACAACAAAATTCAGGAGTTTCTCCTGCCATGTTGTTTTTATCAAATAAAGTTCAAAGTTTAAAGTTCAAATAGCTGCTGCGGGCCCTTAGGGCAAACATTCTTTCTTTTCAAGAAGGCACAGCGATAGCATAAGCATGGGTCGTGGGCAAAATGACAATGTACTGCCATACTAGAGCCACTCTATTTTTTCTACTGTACGTATGTATGGAACAATTTGCAAGACTATGGCTCCACAGAGAAATCTACGTGCATTACAGACCTTACAAAGGGCACAGGAGAGATAATCAGTAAACAAGTTTGACCCTGTGTCCATTTTATCAAGGACGACTACAATAGAACATCCTTGGTGTAATCATATCGGTAGTCGGACGACATCTTCGGGTCAATGCCCCGAGCAAAAGGCTACAACTGCGCATTCTGTACAAACATGGCCGTGATAGTCAGGTGGATAACTGAGAATGTCCAAGAGATTTTGCAGATCTCCGGGCTGACTCTGCAGTCTTTCCTCGTCTTCTGCACGGCTGTTATCCTGGTGTGTTTTCTCTTGAAGCGCGGCAGAAACCCGCCTCCCTACCCGGCAGGACGTGTGCCTGTTCTCGGGCACCTCCTCGCCTTGGGCCGAGCGCCTCACCTCAAGCTGACGGCGTGGAGGCGGCAGTACGGGGACGTCTTTACCGTCAGGATGGGGATGGAAGATGTAGTGGTTCTGAACGGCTACACTGCCGTCAAGGACGCGCTCGTGGACAGGTCCGAGCTGTTTGCCTCCAGGCCACCTAATTACCTGGCTGATACAATAGTTGATTTTGGAAAAGGTAAACTTCTATTCACCCTAACGTTATGCTTTCCTTTTGTTTGTTTAATGTCATACTTTCTACGGTCGTAGATACTTGTGACAGAAAAGGTCATTGTCTAGTGTCCTATCAGCATGCGTGTAGTGAAGTTAACATAAGATGTGAGATGTTAAAGACATGTTATTACCTCCAGGAAAAATGGAGATGTTGTTTTTGGCGCGTCTGTGTGAGTGTGTGTGTGTGTGTGTGTGTGTGTGTGTATGTATGTATGTGTGTGTGTTTCCGGACATTTGCTAGCATAACTTCAGAACGCCTTTATGGATTGTGATGATATTTGGTATGCTGGTAGGTCTTAGGAAGCCAAAGGTCAAGGTCAAATATGGGCCTCCTGGTGGCTGTTCTTGGTACCGCAGCAGTCCTTCTGGAAAAACAGATGTGCGGGGTGGCAGGGAAAACAGATGTGCGGGGTGGAGGCAGTGCCTGCCCGAGTTGATTAATGCGTTTCTCCCTCGGGGAAAATCCTAGATGACCATATCCAGGCCAAAGGTGCTACTGTGTGTTTTGTTCTGTACTGTAGTGTAGTGTACTGTGTAAAACATTTAGAAAAACTCATATATTTCATGGAGGTATATGAGGTCTCCGAATTCTTGTTTGTTCCTGCAGACATAGGCGCTGCACGCTGGGGACCTGAGTTCAGACAGAGAAAGAGGTTTGCCACCGCCGTCCTGAAGAACCTGGGCATGAAGGGTGGAACTGGCAGCATCGAGGAGAAAATCCGAGAGGAGGCGAGCTGTCTCCTCAACAGGGTAAGACGAAACCAAGAAGGAAACATCTAAAATCCTGAAAACTTCCGCTCGAACAAATATTTGTGTGATTGTATTGTGGGCATTCTCATGGGCAATATGTCGATAAGATTCATCACGAATCATATATTTCTATGAACATTGTTTCTTGATATATTGTGTAGTTCGTGGTGCTATTTGTACCCTAATGTTTTGATAAGTCCTACGACAAAAAGGCATATGTAGGATCATAATGCTAAATTAAATGGATAAATCTATGACACCGCTTCCATCTGGACAAATTCATCCTTTTGCAGATAAACAAATTCTGTTCAGATTGCAGAATACAACGAGAACCCATCTGACATCGCTCATGACGTCACCGTTGCGGTTGCAAACGTCATCTGCTCTATGCTAATGGGGAAGCGCTATGACTACAGGGACGAGACGTTCAGGGAACTGGCAGATGCACTAGTCACGGTCATGGATGAACTTGTAGTTGGACAGATAATCAACGTTTTCCCCTTGCTACGGTTTGTTCCTGTCGGTAGGTAGAATACATGGAAAATTTATTCACTCCAATGACTAACGTACATTATAGTAAGTCTTACAGGCAAATTACATATTTCTATTGCTATACTTATTATATTATACTTTTAGCAATAGAAATATGTAATCTGCATGTAAGACTAGCTACGTACAAATGCATGTTAGCAAAGGTTAATATTACGAATCACGTAGAGTGACACAGGGCAAGAATTAAGAATGGCATAGATTAAGTAGTACCTCACATTTATGTGTAAAGCTAAAACGTTTGACTCAACAGAAAGTAAATTTTCTCACTAGAGCTTTCGACCAGTTCCTCTGGTCTTCCTCGTAGACTGACCCAGTGACTTTAAGCATGTAACTTGACCAACACTTAGTGTTGAAGATGAACTTTCATGACCTTACGTTTGATTGTAACTGTTCCCCGGGGTACTTTACAGTGAATAGAGCCAGCATCAACGCGTTGAAAGAGTCCTCCAAGATCGCAAAGGTGATAAGACAAGAAATAGCCCATCATCGCGAGAACCTGGATCGCGAGAACCCGCGAGACTTCCTCGACTACTGCCTGCTGGAGGTTGAGAAGCAGGAGAAGGTGGAGGGTCTGACGGAGGAGATCGTGATGTACATGGCGGAGGACCTCTTCTTTGGGGGATTTAACACAACCACCAACACCTTGCTGTGGAGTCTGCTCTACATAACTTTGAACCCCGACATCCAGAATAAGGTACTACTGGTCAGCATCAAGCGTCACCGTGTGTAGCTATGTCAGACTCATTAGACACTGGCAAAGATCACTTAAAATCTTAGCTTCAGTTAGTGTTAGCTGCAGGTCCCCAGTCCTTGCATCCTTCCCAGTCCTACTATGAATACAATGTCTCATAGGGGTTACCTCAACATAATGTGCCTTTACCAGGTGCAGCAGGAGCTTGATGCCGTTGTTGGTGAGGGTCTGCCCACCCTGTCCCACCGTTCCCAGTTGCCTTTAATACAGGAACGCCTGTATGCCTGAGGATCCCTCTGCCTCTTAGCGACGCTCTCCATCAAGTAACCTATGCTTTTGCCCAAACAGGTGCAGCAGGAGCTTGATGCCGTTGTTGGTGAGGGTCTGCCCGCCTTGTCCCACCGTTCCCAGCTGCCCTACGTGAACGCCTGTCTGCTGGAGGTCATGAGGATCCGGCCCGTCGTATCTCTCACGGCTCCCCACGCCACATCAGACACGGTCAAAGTGGGGGAATATGACATCCCTAAGGGCACCCAGGTAATGCTACCTTTCATAAAGATACGCTTTCTTTTACATTGCAAACATGGACCCTTTATCTAAATGTGGCCATAAGACTGGTGTTTATCCAGTTACAGTCTTAACATGACATTCTTAACATGTCATATTTGCAGTGTGTGTGTGTGTGTGTGTGTGTGTGTATGTGTGTGCGCGCGCTTGTGCGCGTGTTTGTGTGTGTGTCAGTGTGTGTGTGTGTGTGTGTGTTTGTGTGTGTGTTTGTGTGTGTGCTTGTGCGCGTGTTTGTGTGTGTGTGTTTGTGTGTGTGTCAGTGTGTGTGTGTCAGTGTGTGTGTGTCAGTGTGTGTGTGTCAGTGTGTGTGTGTGTGTGTGTGTGTGGTGTATGTGTGTGTGGTGTGTGTGTGTGTGTGTGTGTGTGTGTGTGTGTGTGCGCGCGCTTGTGCGCGTGTTTGTGTGTGTGTCAGTGTGTGTGCGTGTTTGTGTGCGTGTTTGTGTG